GTTCTTTTTCTCCAAATGGGGAAAGAGAGGAAATGACACTCTCTCATTCCTGCTTTTTGCACCCAAACAAAGGCAATTATGTAATTTTCATGTTTCACATGTAATGTCAAGACCTTATTAAGTTTAATTTAGATTAATAAAATTGCAGCCAAGGAGAGGAAAGCAACTCTCATCATAAAGGGAAACATCTCAGGAGCTACCTTCTTTTCCTCCCCCAACTTTACCACATCTTGTCCTATGCCGGTTGTTTCGAGCTGAGAAATAAGTTAAAGGGGAGGAATTAGGCCCTCTTCTATGGCTGGATTCCACAAGGCACAGAGCTCTTCAGTGCTGATCCAGCAAAGCATTTAAGCACATACTTAACTTTAAGCACAAACTACCCACATGCTTAAAGTTCAACATGTGCTTGAATGCTCAGAGATGCTGACTTTTTGGTTTTCCCGGAGGTGCTCGACCCGTGCACTGCCCTGGTCCCGCCCGCACTCCACCCCTTCCCCCAAGGCCTCACGCTGCCCCACCTCTTACCACCCCATTCCACCTCTTCCCTCCTCCACTCCGCCCCACCTCTTCCCGCCCCATTCTACCCCTCCCCCAAGCACGCCCCACCCTCACTCCTCCCCTTCACCCCCAATGCCTCCTGCATGCCACTGAACAGCTGATCACTGGCAGACAGATCCTTTAGCCCTGTGTACAAACTTTTTTTATTTCTCTCACCATCATAGCCATGTCTTCCATTCATTCCTGCCCCAGACCCTGTTTCTTACTTCTTCTTTATGAACGGAGAGTGGGCAGAGGAAAGGAGTTTCTGATTCTCCAGCATTTTCATACCAGGATTTTTTCATTCTGCACCCATCACCTTGGGCAACAAATTTACAGCTGTAAAAGAAATCCATAAAGCTTGAGGATATAAGGCCTGATTTTATTTGCATGCACAATTCTGGCAACTGCACATACAAATCAGGTATTTGTATGCATACATGGGTCATGATGAATTCAGTTGGTTATTTACATTTACCTGAGTGAAAAATTACAATAATTATGCATATAAATATGGCATGGAGTTCTGTGTGCAGTTTTAAAAATCAGCTCTTTGTGACCATGTTCCCTCCTCACCCTAATTTCAGAAGGTTTTTTAATATGGCTCAGCATCCGAAGTATGTCTTCATTTTAAGTTATCTCCTAGCTCTTCTGATAATGAATATGACTTCATAAAGTAAATCAATACAAGCTGTCATTTTGTTTCTGCAGAGTCTCAAATAATTATCTAGGAGCAGGTCAGAAATAAAGGAAGATACAAAGTGAGGGGTCAAATTAGCCACTGTTTTTGTTAAATAATAAAGTGAGCCAAATCAGCCAAAACTAAGCAAGGTAGGATGTCCTTGCTAAAAATGACTTAGACCATTGTGTGCTAGGTAATCTACACCACAGCAGAAACCAAAGGCACCACTCCACTGGGACCAGCATCCACTGGTGAAGTCCTACCCTGGGATGGGTTACCCTGGCAAAGATGCAGCCTCGTATATTGGGCCTTCATGCAGTCATGTCCCTCTATTTGATGCACCTTACAGATGCCAGTAGCTTGAATCCCTCAATGTGTGCACATGGCATAAATAGATCACTTTACCACATGAGGTTCTTTGGGAATTCCAGGTTTGATTGAACATAACATCAAGTGAACCGTAACAAAACTGGGTGGTTTTGTAAGGTGCCTGGCAAGTTTCACTATCCCCATCCTACCCACAAGCAGCTCCTGGCACACACCCTTTCCCTGTTGATGTTTTCTGGGTGGTGAGGCAGTGACCTGTATCCCCAATTCCCCCTACAGACTTGTCTGGTGTCAGCCATTACTTTGTATCTGACACCTGTGAGTATAGGTGTCAAGGGGGAGGGTTTGGAGACTTATAGCAGGTAGAATTTTAGCTCCCCGTCCCAAGCAGGCATCCTTGGGTGCAGTCATAGAATCATAGAATCATAGAATATAAAGGTTGGAAGGGACCCCAGAAGGTCATCTAGTCCAACCCCCTGCTCGAAGCAGGACCAATTCCCAGTTAAATCATCCCAGCCAGGGCTTTGTCAAGCCTGACCTTAAAAACCTCTAAGGAAGGAGATTCTACCACCTCCCTAGGTAACGCATTCCAGTGTTTCACCACCCTCTTAGTGAAAAAGTTTTTCCTAATATCCAATCTAAACCTCCCCCACTGCAACTTGAGACCATTACTCCTCGTTCTGTCATCTGCTACTATTGAGAACAGTCTAGAGCCATCCTCTTTGGAACCCCCTTTCAGGTAGTTGAAAGCAGCTATCAAATCCCCCCTCATTCTTCTCTTCTGCAGGCTAAACAATCCCAGCTCCCTCAGCCTCTCCTCATAACTCATGTGTTCCAGTCCCCTAATCATTTTTGTTGCCCTTCGCTGGACTCTCTCCAATTTATCCACATCCTTCTTGAAGTGTGGGGCCCAAAACTGGACACAGTACTCCAGATGAGGCCTCACCAATGTCGAATAGAGGGGAACGATCACGTCCCTCGATCTGCTCGCTATGCCCCTACTTATACATCCCAAAATGCCATTGGCCTTCTTAGCAACAAGGGCACACTGCTGACTCATATCCAGCTTCTCGTCCACTGTCACCCCTAGGTCCTTTTCCGCAGAACTGCTGCCTAGCCATTCGGTCCCTAGTCTGTAGCGGTGCATTGGGTTCTTCCGTCCTAAGTGCAGGACCCTGCACTTATCCTTATTGAACCTCATCAGATTTCTTTTGGCCCAATCCTCCAATTTGTCTAGGTCCTTCTGTATCCTATCCCTCCCCTCCAGCGTATCTACCACTCCTCCCAGTTTAGTATCATCCGCAAATTTGCTGAGAGTGCAATCCACACCATCCTCCAGATCATTTATGAAGATATTGAACAAAACCGGCCCCAGGACTGACCCTTGGGGCACTCCACTTGATACCGCAGTCATACCTTCGTGAACAAGTTTATTGTCCTGTGGGTGTCTTCAGAGTGGGCCCTAAGGAGATAGTCATCCAAGTATGGGTAGATCATGATCCCCAGGGTGCATAAGTGTGCCGCTACTAAGGAGAGGACCTTGGAGAATACTGTGTGGGCTAACGAGAGGCTAAAAGGAAGTACTCTGTACCGGTAGTAGTCCTGACCTAGGGTAAACAGGAGGAATTGTCTGTGGGCTGGTACAATCAATATGTGGAAAATAGGCATCCTGAAAGTCAAGGGCTGAGAACCAATCTCCCTGTTCCATGGATGGAATAATCGCTGCTAATGTGACCATCTTGAATTTTTGAGGCTTCTCATATTTGTTCAGTGCTCTGAGGTCCAGTATGGGTCTCCAACCTCCCTTTTTCTTAGGGATCAGGAAATATCAGGAATAAAACCCCTTTGCCTCAGAGATATGCACGCATAGATGTGTCTATGGCTCCTAGAGATAGGAGAGGATCTATTTCCTGTCGTAATAGTATCTCATGAGAGGGGTCCCTGAAGAGGGATGGGGAGGGAGGGTGGGGAAGTGGATAGAATACCCATGAGAGATAATTTCTGAAACCCATCTGTCAGATGTTATGTGTTCCCAATTCTGATGAAACAGAGCCAGACAATATCCAAAGGGATGTGAAAGGTTGGAAAGCTGCATCTGGTGTCATGGGGAGCAGTTTCTTGAGGCCTCAACCAAGGAGTCAAAATTGGAGTTTTGAGGTGGAAGGTTGTGATGTGGAAGACTGAGGGCGTGATGATTTACACCTTTGAATTTTAGACTTTTTCCATTGTGGCTCATAATAGCACTGTAATGGGTACTGGGCTGGACATGACTTTTGGGAACGCTGAGGAGTAAATTTACTTTTTTTGCCTAGCCCTGGTGACCGAAGTGTGGCTCTGAAGTCTTATGGAGCTTGGCATCGGTCTTATCTGCAAAGAGTTTGAAGGGGAGATCCTTGACAGTCATCTGAACCTCCTTTGGCAGTCGTGAAAGATACAGCCATGTCACTCACCACATCATGACTACTGTGGCTATTGAACAGGCTGCAGTATCCGTGGCAGCTAGTGCAGTTTGGAGTTCTGTTTTTGCCACAATTGCCCCTCCTGTATGATGGCCTGAAGTTGATCTCTGTATCATCAATAAAGTTGTTAAGCTTGGCATAATTTGTGCAATCGTATTTGGCCGTTAGTGCTTGGTCATTTGCAATAAGAAATTGCAAAGTCGGGAAGAGTAGATCTTTCTCCCAAACAAGTCCAGTCTCTCCCAATCCCTATAGTAAGGGGTGGATTTTGAATAGTGCTGGTGGCCACAGGAGTTCATTTTATCCACCACAATGGAATTAGATGGAGAGTGGGAGAAGAAGAACCCTGAGTCTTTGGTGGGGGCATAATGCATTTTGTTGGCCTGCACATCTGTGCGGCCGATGCTGTTGTTTGCCATATGAATCTTACTGGGTCCAAAAGCACCTCATTAATTGGGTGGGCGATCCTTGAGGAGGAAGTATGTAGAATGTCCAGCAGTTTATGGTGGGTGTCTCTCAACTCAAGAGGGATTTGTAATAAATCTGCCATCCTCTTTGTAAGGTCCTGAAAGACCTTAAATTGGCTGCCATGGATGGAGGAGGGGGCATTACGGCCTCATCTGAAGAGAAGGAAGAGAAATGAGTTGGTGTTGTGGTCTCCTCTTTTGGCTCAATCTCCTGCTGTTCGGAGATTTCCTCAGTAGGCTCTGAGGCTCTAGATCAGCAGTTCTTAACCCACAGCTCATGGGCCACATGCAGGCTGTGGGGCTGGGTTAGCAGCTGCTTGGCCACCCAGCGCCTTGAGGTCCAGGCTGCCTGGCCAGGCAGGGCACGGTGCAGCACAGCGGGGTCGGGGTCCAGAGTGGCAGGTTCCAGGCTGCCACCCTGCCAGCCCCATGTGGCAGAGTCCAGTGGGGTCTGGGGCTGCCTGCATGGCGGGGTCTTGGGCTGCCATTCTGGCCAGCCCCACATGGTGGGGTCCAGGGCTGCTGACCGGTCGGCCCCACAGGGAAAAATCAGTCCAAGTTAATAAGCTCTCGCTTCCTGTCTTTCTGACATATGACTGGCATAAAAGACATAAAAAAAGCAAACCCAAAATGCTGGTCTTTTGACTACGTTTACTCTGTTACCGCTATTACAGCCACCAAATTAATCCCACTTGTGAATTCACAGCTGTTCTCTTGAAGTGGTTGGTGTAACCATTGCAAAACACTTGCTTTTGGTACAACAGAGAAAAATGACACAAGCAAATATATTTCAGTTATTGCATTTCTGTCTGCACCCATCCCAACATCCAGGCTCTTTGGAAAGTTAAATGGACCAATGGACCTTCCTATCTTACTAGTACTAAGAGAAAGGAAGGAAGAACAGTAACAGAAATACAACAAAAATACTATGTCTGCAACTTCAATTTTTCTCACCAGAAAATAAAACTTTATAATCTTTAGAATTAACAAAAAAGGTGATTTAGAATAAAAATATAATATCAAATTTTAAAAACAGGAACATTACACACTCAATTCTGACTTATTTACATTGTCATTCTCAGTAAAGTAAGGCTCTCCAAAACCATTTGTTATCAGTAAACATTATGAACACAATTCTCTTCTCCTTGCATATGTAGTAATTTGGGGCATTCAAGAGATTTATCATTCACATGAGCTTGGGAATCTAGAGAGATTTCCTTTCAATACAGATGCCAAGTCAAAGAAGAACAAATTTATAAACATTTGTCAGATGGCTGTGGTCTGTTAAGTCCCCTATGTGCTTTTGGTAATGAAACAAAACCAAGCCTGGTGCCAGCGATTTTTTTTTAGTCATTCTATAACCTTCACAAAGTGTAAAAACACATCTGTGATGAAACAGCACATACATCCAGCATAACATTAGTACAGTCGATGTGCTGAGTGTGTATATTACCTCTTCAAAAGCTATTCATTCTAGTTTAACACCAGCCATCTACTTCTATCCTTCTGGTTTGCTGCATTCTAGCATGAACTAAGGACCTGATCCAAAGCCCCTGGATGGGAATTTTGTCATTGACTTCAATGAGCTTTGATCAGGCCCCCTATGAGGTTCCCAACACCATTTACAAGGTGTTGAGTTCCCTCAACCCCCCGACTTATTCTTTTCCCAACACCTAGCAAAGTTGTGCCCCTGGAGTTCATCATAACACAAAATATTACAAACTAGCTCAAACCATTTTTGAAGAAAAAGATATTAAAGATAAAGTGATGGTTAATCTTGCCAAGGTGGCCTTGCAGTGGTCTTCATGCTCTTACTCCTGTGGGAGCTCTTCCCCTTTTGGTGAATGAATAACCCCTTAGAACTCTGCTGCTGCCGTTTGGATGATGAGTTGCTGGATGCTTCTGCCATCGCAGACACATGGTTGGGCAAAGGTCTCTCACTGTGTGGAGGAGGCAGGGGTGTTGAATCTGGCACTGGGTTATCTTTTGAAATCTTATCCAAGCCGCTTGCAGCTCCTCCTCCTGCACTCTCCCCCACTTCAGACTTTGTAAAATGAGGAATGGATTCTGTTTTCTTCTTTTTTCGTTCCTTTCTAAAGCTCTGAAGGTTTTCAAAGGCTAGAGCCAGTTCAGTTTGTGAAGTTTCCATTTCACTGGCTGCTTTATCCCATTGTTCCCCACAGTCTTTGAGTGAATTCTCCAAAGAGAAGAAGAACTCTTTTCCAAACCTTGACAGGGCCTCATCACCTTAAGAGATAACAGGGCAGTGAGTTAAATTACAACAGACATTTCACATCAACAGGAATAATCAGGGAGATTTATAAGTGCCAGTACTCGCATTAAAGTATAAAAGCATAAATCAGTAGTAGTTTTGACATGGCTTGGAATGTGTCAGTAAAGCTATAAATTTCTTGTCCTGTGGATCACCTGGTTCTTTGCAACATGTGGTTCATCATTTATCTAGAAAAGCTAAGACTGACAATACAGTGTGTTAGAGAAAGGATTTCCTCCTCTACCAGAAATCAACAGTGCCTGTGTGTAGTAGTCACTAGCCCTCTGCCAAAGACGCCTGAATGCTACTCCCAAATTGATCAGACAAGTTGCTTTCAAATTATGTTAGCCACTCCCTTTCTCCTTAGAATCATAGAATCATAGAATCATAGAATATAAGGGTTGGAAGGGACCCCAGAAGGTCATCTAGTCCAACCCCCTGCTCAAAGCAGGACCAATTCCCAGTTAAATCATCCCAGCCAGGGCTTTGTCAAGCCTGACCTTAAAAACCTCTAAGGAAGGAGATTCTACCACCTCCCTAGGTAACGCATTCCAGTGTTTCACTACCCTCTTAGTGAAAAAGTTTTTCCTAATATCCAATCTAAACCTCCCCCACTGTAACTTGAGACCATTACTCCTCGTTCTGTCATCTCCTACCATTGAGAACAGTCTAGAGCCATCCTCTTTGGAACCCCCTTTCAGGTAGTTGAAAACAGCTATCAAATCCCCCTCATTCTTCTCTTCTGCAGGCTAAACAATCCCAGCTCCCTCAGCCTCTCCTCATAACTCATATGTTCCAGACCCCTAATCATTTTTGTTGCCCTTCGCTGGACTCTCTCCAATTTATCCACATCCTTCTTGAAGTGTGGGGCCCAAAACTGGACACAGTACTCCAGATGAGGCCTCACCAATGTCGAATAGAGGGAACGATCACGTCCCTCGATCTGCTCGCTATGCCCCTACTTATACATCCCAAAATGCCATTGGCCTTCTTGGCAACAAGGGCACACTGCTGACTCATATCCAGCTTCTCGTCCACTGTCACCCCTAGGTCCTTTTCCCAGAACTGCTGCCTAGACATTCGTCCCTAGTCTGTAGCTGTGCATTGGGTTCTTCCGTCCTAAGTGCAGGACCCTGCACTTATCCTTATTGAACCTCATCAGATTTCTTTTGGCCCAATCCTCCAATTTGTCTAGGTCCTTCTGTATCCTATCCCTCCCCTCCAGCGTAACTACCACTCCTCCCAGTTTAGTATCATCCGCAAATTTGCTGAGAGTGCAATCCACACCATCCTCCAGATCATTTATGAAGATATTGAACAAAACCGGCCCCAGGACCGACCCTTGGGGCACACCACTTGATACCGGCTGCCAACTAGACATGGAGCCATTGATCACTACCCGTTGAGCCCGACAATCTAGCCAGCTTTCTACCCACCTTGTAGCATTCATCCACCCATACTTCCTTAACTTGCTGACAAGAATACTGTGGGAGACCGTGTCAAAGCTTTGCTAAAGTCAAGAAACAATACATCCACTGCTTTCCCTTCATCCACAGAACCAGTAATCTCATCATAGAAGGCAATTAGATTAGTCAGCATGACCTTCCCTTGGTGAATCCACTGCTGTTCCTGATCACTTTCCTCTCATGTAAGTGCTTCAGGATTGATTCTTTAGGACCTGCTCCATGATTTTTCCAGGACTGAAGTGAGGCTGACTGGCCTGTGTTCCCAGGATCCTCCTTCTTCCCTTTTTTAAAGATTGGCACTACATTAGCCTTTTTCCAGTCATCCGGGACTTCCCGGTTCGCCACGAGTTTTCAAAGATAATGGCCAATGGCTCTGCAATCACAGCCGCCAGTTCCTTCAGCACTCTCGGGCAACTCGTCCGGCCCCATGGACTTGTGCACGTCCAGCTTTTCTAAAGTCCCTAACCACCTCTATCTCCACAGAGGCTGGCCATCTCTTCCCCATTTTGTGATGCCAGCACATCTGGAGCTGACCTTGTTAGTGAAAACAGAGCAAAAAAGCATTGAGTACATTAGCTTTTTCCACATCCTCTGTCACTAGTTTGCCTCCCTCATTCAGTAGGCCCACACATTCCTTCTTTCTTCTTGTTGCCAACATACCTGAAGAAACCCTTCTTGTTACTCTTGACATCTCTGGCTAGCTGCAGCTCCAGGTGCGATTTGGCCCTCCTGATAACATTCCTACATGCCCTAGCAATATTTTTATACTCTTCCCTGGTCATATGTCCAACCTTCCACTTCTTGTGCTTCTTTTTATGTTTAAGATCCGCTAAGATTTCACCATTAGCCAAGCTGGTCGCCTGCCATATTTACTATTCTTTCGACTCATCGGAGGTTTGTCCCTGTAACCTCAACAGGGATTCCTTGAAAACACCAGCTCTCCTGACTCCTTTCCCCTTCAGTTAGTCCCCCAGGGGATCCTGGCCACCGTTCCCTGAGGGAGTCGAGTCTCTTTCCTGAGTCCAGGGCCTATCTCTGCTTACCTTTCTTCCCTGTGTCAGATCCTAACTCAACCAACTCTGTCCTCCCCCGATTCCCCCCCCCTTCCCCCCCCCACTAATTCCACCCGGTTTGGGGGCAGGAGGGCAAGAAAAGCGCCCCCCCTAGTTGGCTCCTCGAGCACTTGCGCCAGGAAATTGTCTTCTCAGCTGCTTCTCAGCAGCTGTCTAAAATTCAGATCTTGTATTCCCATTAGACTGTCAGCCCATACCTTGACATTTCAACTAGAAAAACACAAGCCGAGAGTAGCCACAATGGAAGTCATCACTGATTACATATATTCTTGTTAATCCATAGTAGACTCAAATAATGAAAAATGGTATAAAACAAGGTCAGGGTTATGGAATTTGTTCCCTTTATATATCCAAGTCAAGGTGCCAAAGAGAAGTAGCACTTTTCCCTTTTATGGGTTTGTCTTTTTATTGTTATATAAATAAGATACAAGGGAAAAAACATTGTTATGCAGTAGAACTGTGCAGAACTTTTTCCTTTTCCTCCTGGATTTGGTACCATGACTATGGGTTAGACACTGCAGAGTTCAAAGCTTCTAACTGATACAACAATATATGATAACCCTGACTTTCTTTTTTAATAAGGTTATGATTGGAAGGGTACAAAAAAAGAAAATATTTAGGAATCTACTCATTTTTTACCCCTATGCATAGAGTTGAAATTCTGCAAGATCTATAATTGTTTACTTCCTAGATCCTAGACAGAAACAATCCATCCCCTTCCATGTGTGGAGAAGACAAAGGAGGGAGATTATACTCGAATTAAGATCCACTTATGATCTCATCCTGCATCACCCTGTCCTATCAGGATGTGGCATTTTGGGGAAGTTCTCTTCAGGTGATTTCATTGACAATGGCCTCACACCTCAGCTGAATTAAGGCAATAAAAATCTAAAAGCCAGTGTAGCTTCTCTGAGATAATACATAAACCTGATGTAGGAGCATAAAGGCTCCTATACCATCCCCTTCCTTGCAGCCAGTGTAAGATGCATAACTGGGGCTTTCCCTCACCCTGGTGATACATGACTGAGGTGTGGTCTAGAAGAATGAACAGAAGACTGGAATCTAGAGACTCAAGCCTTGCTGTGTGATGTGGGGGAGAGACCTCAATATCGATGCAAATATAATATTAATCAAATAGTTATATTTTATTTTTAAGTTATTATTAACTTGTTTGCATCATTATTTAATCTTAAAAATATATCTGCAAGAATGTTCTAGCCAGAATATTTTGAAATATAAAATGTTTAATTTGTTATGTTACAAAATCTGCTTCTATATAATTCCTGATGTTATTGCTATGTAAATGGTAAAATGCTTTATGTACCACCTGGAATCTAATGACCTTGCTAAACTAGTGTAGGAAGCCATTTAAGTACAGACTATTTATATTAATGGGAAACTAATTACGTACTGGCAGTACACAAACAAACCCTAACCAATTCTGGAAGATGAGTATCATCTCTCCGAAGTCATCAACTTTAAATTATTTAAGATAAAGACTTTGTAAGAGTTATTTAATTTTAAAAGACTATTTTGCAAACTTTCATATAAAGAACAGGAGTGTTTGGACTTTTTAAAAAGAGAATCTTTTTATATAACTCTAATAAAACTGACAGATTATTTCAAACTGGACTGAATAAAAAAGAGTTAAAACAAACTTTAAAAGTTGTCTGGATCATTCCTGCCACAAGAAAAACAAAGGCAATTAAAGAAATGTTGCATATTCATTAAACAGAACATTTAGGCATATTTAGGAACTGAAAGTGTCACCTAAGCCAACCCTAAAGACATAAAGCCAATGAAAGGGTGACAGTAACCAGTTTAGAATCTAAACAAGCCTGGAAGAGGTGTGCTTTCCTCAGGAAATCTAATAATCTCAGGAAAACAGAAAGGAGAAGGGTAAAAAAAAAACTTGTAAAGTGAGCTCCTCACACATACACACCCTATGCAATCCTGCTCAAACACACCATTCCACAAGCAAAGTACCATAAACAAATTAACAAAAACAGAGAAGACTCAAGATGAAAGCAACCCAAGGAAAACCACCCTAAGGCCTTGGCTACACTTGCGAGTTGGAACGCATTAAATCAGCCCCAGGTGCCCTAACTCCTGAGGTATCCACACTGGCAAGGCATGTAGAGCACCCAGACTCCACCGATGGAGCGCCCTGGTAATCCATCTCCACGAGAAGCATAAAGCTTGCTGTGCCCCAGCTGGAGTGCCGCGGTGCCAGGGTAGATGCCCTGGTCTGTTAGTGCGCTCTGATCGGCCTCCAGAAGTGTCCCACAATGCCTGTTCTAGCCACTCTAGTCATCACTTTGAACTCTACTGCCCTGCCCTCAGGTGACCAACTGTCAGACCTGCCCTTTAAATTCTTTGGGAATTTTAAAATTCCCCTTCCTGTTTGCTCAGCCAGGTGTGGAGTGCTCTCAGCGA